GGCCAGTGTGTTTGATTCAGAACATGAGTGGTATTTTAGCAAACAGAAAAGATAAGAGGTTCTTATAATACAGCTTGCCAATATCGGTAGTTTGAGTTCCTAATTCATATGAAACTTTAGATTTTGTATTTTGACATCACAAACATCTAATTTGAAACAATGCTGCATTCAACATACCACGTGACACACAAAAACGATGTTTTTAATATTTACTTTTAAATTAAGAATTTAATTACAATCTACAATTTGATACCAAACTTATTGATATAAATTCACAAAATAGTAGTTCAATAAAATTTTGAATGTAAGTCAACAAACTCGATGATATGGCCTTTGACACGTGACCCATTGCAATGGGGTTAATGAATTTGTTAATCAGTTTGTCTATTATTACTTCAATACCATGTATAATGAGTTTATGTTTTAATGACAAAATAGATAAGAGAAGTAACACAAACATGAGAAAATTTGCAAGTAAGTAACTGTTTGTTATTATTTATGAAGTAAGTATAGAACTTGTAATTTAAGAAATAAAAACTTTCGTTACCATTAAGTGGGCAAGACTTTGCAATATATTTTTCTGATTAATCCAAAAATATCCACTCAACAAAGAAATCATCACAACACTATTTCCATTGTTGCATACATACTGTGCTGAGATCCTTTATATCTTGGTCTATTGAGCAGGAATTCTGATGGTTGACATTAATCTTAATCTGGTTTTTGTACTTTTATTTTTGGTACACAATAACAATTCATAACATAAGTTTCAACGTTCACATAGTAATCACATCACAAGATATCTTTCTGAGGTTAACTAGTTGTAGAAAAAAAAAAGCTTTTCAATTTAAACAATTACTTTTACATCAGTGGTATAAGTTAGAAATACTCATATCTAAAAATATCTTTGATACTTTGTTTTTCTAGGCTAAATTTTAACATAAAATGTTCAGTTGCATGAACTACTTTTACTTGCATAATTTGTTTTTATACACATACAAAAATATTTGAAGGTTAAATACTGTTTATCATACCTTTGAGCCTGTAACAGCCATGTCCAGTTCAGTGGCAACTGCCACACACGTGACCTCACTCTCATGCCCACACAGAACTTTTAAAGGTTTGGCTGTGATAAGATTTCCTGAATTTCCCTTAAAGTAAAGAATATACAAAAATCATAGTTATTTTATACTAATTTTAGAAAAAAAAGGACTTTAGTTTCCTTTAGTGATGCAGTAAGTAATAGAAAAAAAAGTTATCTTATGGTAACTTACATAAAATGAACTTTACTATTTCCTCCAATGATAAATATTTGTTATTTTTGTATTATTTACTATAAGATAAGTTACATCAAATATGACGAATAGCTATCTTACTGTAAAGCAGAGAAACAGAAAAAAAAACAATCATATAAATTTGGGGGTATAACATAAACTCAATTTATTTTATAGTGAAAGTAGAAAAAAATGTTAGACACACTACAATTGCTTAATGCCATGGTTTGAAGCATAGAAAAAACAGTATACTTCATTATATTACAAAAATCTATTAAAAAACATCTATATCATTATTCTTCCAGTATCCCAAGACAAAAATATTACTTCTTATACTCTAGAACTAAAGTATCATAAAAATTTTTTTTTCCTTAATAATTAAAGATTCTATTACATACATAAGTGTATATAACAATCAAATACATTGGCTGGACCTATTATTACAATGATATATATCTACTTTGTTACATTTCGGAATTCTTCAACATGAACAACATATTTTACGTGGAAATTCTGGACAGTGATGTTACAAAATAGGATACCTATTTTAATCTATCTTTAAATTCATATTTATATGGTTCCTAATTAAAAAAACATATACTTCTTACCTTGCAAAATGATACAGGAATTACACATATATTACTCATGCATGGTATACAACATTTTATAAGATTTAATATGTAGACTTTATTATACTTGGACAATACTGGAAAATATATGATAACATAAGCTTACACAAACATTGTAAATTTTTACAATTTGTAATTTGTATTTTATTATGATGAAACTGTAGCACACACAATGATCAACAGTACTGTTATCACCTGTGAGTCAAATATAGTAGTTGTATTCCTCACTTGGCCAGAAGTCTGTGTCACTTGAGAGTACCAAATTTGCACAAATGCTCATGGTATTAGATATAAATCATTAGAAGTTTTAGCTTACCAATGTGTTTATTTCCCAAACCATGCTTGTTGTGTCTCTAGACCCAGAGATTAGTCGTATTCCACAGTGGTCTATAGCAAGACAAGTAATGACATCTGGAAATAGTAAGGAAATATGATATTTACAATATAGTTACACAGTATCAGGTGATAAGTAGGGTTGTAAGTTCATAAAAAAAATAAAAATAACACACACAAAAAATCCCAATACAAAATAAGAAAAAATCTAATCCCTTCAAAATAGATTTGCCAGAGAAACATCAAAATAAACATGGGGGAAAACCTGAGCTTTTGAGTTTTCAGTCTTTTCTCACAATAGTCAATAATTAAAAAGAAGAGAAATATAAGAGTTACTAATAGAATTACTGCACTTCAGCTTGTGACTATCATAGGAATGTCAAGCAACGTGTTGTGGGTTAAACAGAAGAGAGATTAATACTGTGTATTAAGCCTTGTGAGTTATTGCTAGAAACACTGATACTAAAGCACAAACACTGAAGTGAAGGTGCTGGAAAATGTGTCTGTGCAACACTGCCATAAAAAAAATTGCACATACTTCAAACCATCATTAATAAAATAAAATAAATTTAAGGCTCTTGTGATTAGTATCCATCAGCTACTTTTTGATTTTCACCAACATAAAAGGCAACACGGTGCTAGAAAATTCAAAAGGCCATATAAATGCTATTAAAGACGTATAAGCTCATTGACTGTTGCAATTCCATGTTGTAAACATTTCTAAGACCAAGAGTAAATATGTATTTTATAAGTTAAAAACAGTTCATCAGAGAAAAACCACAGAAAACTATTCATCCCATTTTTATTTTGTGGGTAAACAAAGAAGAAAAAGTATGTGACTCGAATTAGAAACACAACAGAAGTCCCAATTATAGGAAAAAAAACAACAAAAGTGCTGCTTGATTTTTAGAATGATATTTAATTACTTTGAGTACTTTCATGAGTACAAGAGCCATTTGTCTTTCAAAATACTGAAAAATGAGGTTCTAAAGAAAAACCATAATGTTATACAACTAGATTTTTACATTACTAAAATAATACAAATCTTGAGAAGACTTAGTTCAAGATTGCAATATTGATTCTCTCTGTAACTTGAACATATATCTTATAACTAAATGTTTACATTACTGAAATAACACAAATTTTAAGAAGACTTACAAGTGGGGTTCACATACTGCATTAAGTTATGTTTTAAACAGGTAAAACAGTATCAAGGGCAAATCAAATAAATTGTGTGAAATTGTTCATTTGCTATATAAAATACATAGAGAATCACAGAAAGAACCAGTAGAATGAACTGCAATATTGATGTTTTTGTTTAAATGTTTTCATGACTCATATGTAACTAATAGTCATGGATCCACAAGCAACTTGGTGCATAAATAATTTTAAAAAGTGCATTCAAAAAGTTAGTGGGTTTTCATATTGACTCCACGCCACTTTTACCATTAAATCAAGGTCACAGTTTTCATTCTCTTTGAATTAGAAAATATCAAAGCTAAACATTACTTACCAATATGTCTGACGATATGACTAACAACCTTGTTTTTACTTAAGCTAAACACACGAAGGCTGTTATCCCAATGACCACCACTAATGATATACTTGGCATCATGTGTAACTACAAAAAGCTTGCTGGTGATTTCTAGGCCAGGCTGAAATGGTCCAGACACACGTCTAGTTGTCCTGAGTTTGTATAAGATGACATTTTATATACACTAGTACTATAAATATGAATAAATTGAAATAACATCAAATATCTACATACATAATGTTTAGGTCTCAAGTTGTTCTTTTCATTCACTATACAAATTATACTTATCTAATATGAGGTTTAACAAAACTACAATCACATACATTGCTAGATAGGTTAATATGATGCATTTATGACCTTAAGAACTTTTTTTTTTGGTTGACAGCTTCTGGTGCAAGTTAATAATAATCAATACTAGCTTTTAGTGAAAATAAATCATCAAATCAGTAACAATATACTGGTACCAGAAAGTAAATCTCAATTAAACTATATTCTATATTATATTCTAAAATGAATACAGGATTTTGTGACAATTACTTATATTATTATTATTAACAGGTCGAAACTAATGCAGAACAAGGAATATATAAAAACAAGTCAACAAACACTATAATCTGCACTGTGTATGATGGAACTTTTTACAATTTAGCAGCATGAGATATATCTCAAAACATTATTTAGTAGCTTTTTACCTAATCAAATTATGTGAAGGATGATAAGTACCATCTACAAATGTATTATTAATTATATAGTAGCCCAGAAATATATACAACAGTTATAGATGACACAACAGTTTAGATATTTCTGTCCAAAACAACTGTATATGATGTTATAGTCTATGTATATTTACCAAAATGTTGTACGTAACGTGGTAGTTTTGAGACTTATATTCAAGAAAATTGTGGATATCGTTGTAGACTAAAGATAAGTATATATTTTTTGATGATGATGATATCTAAAGGTATCCAAAGAAAACTTAGCAAGTTTATAGACAGTACTAAATATAATACTGATATACAGAATTGGAAAAAATACAGGTGATATACATACAGGAATTGCAAAACAAAAAAATAGATTAACTAAGTAGAAATTTTGTGATTATTAAAATAAAATATCATAGAAAAAAACAGAATAAGTCATACAATACAAAGAGAACAATACATCTTGTTTTCAGGCTACCATAAATTAATCAATTTTATTGTGAAATATAATTCCAATTGTACCGTACCCCACAATTCAATCAAGTTGTTTGGTTGCCATTTGACCTGCTTAGTTTGCAAATAAGCCCATACAGCCTTAATAATATACCTGTAAGGTTGTAACTATTCCATTGACCTCTTTTTCCCTTCCCAAAAATTCTGCATGCTTTGATTTAATGACTTGATGGGAGATGAATCCCTGCCCAACATGAGGTATAAGAATCAAAGTGCCTGTCAGCAATCAGGGTGCAACCAATCTCATGTAGATTTTCAACACCACTGGCCGAGATGCACTCCACACTTTTATTGGTCCCTAGGCATGCTTTAGTTGACCATAATATCATTCTCTTCACTGCCATTGAACAAATTAATTTTGATTGTTGACAAACAATTGAAAAGTTGGATTTATTTGTAAATAACATGCTAATCCAACTTTGCTTATTTCATTGTTTGAAGTGTGATGCCTATTTAATCTTTTTAGATTGGTTATCTCTTCTACATACTGGTTTTTGAAAAGCTACACATACAATGAGCCCTCTTCATACTAATGTATATCTTACTGTTTTAGAGATAACATTCACACCTAGAACACTGGCAAGATTTCTACAGAATTGTTATTATTGTGTAAAGAGTATACTCTAAGTTATTTAATATCAGTTTTGAACATTTCTATTTCAACTTCTTCTACTAACAACAGTATTAGTGTCATCTTCACTTTTCCTACAGATATATTAAAATATTGACTTATTGGATACGGTAACATGAGAGCACGTGAGCCGTGTCATTGTAACTTCTGTATTGTTAGCCAGGCATGACTGGAAAGTCAATATAATAAATATATATAAATGTATAATGTTATGAGATGTAAGCTAATTAGACTAAACATTTATGTTTTTGTGTTATAATTTGTAGTCATTCTAGAACGAAAAAAGCATAATTTCTATCTATTTCCTAATTTCTTATGGTGGTTACAAGGTCAAATTGACAGACTCTGTATAGTTGTGGTAGAGAAAATAACAGACAAAATATAAAGTTTTACTGAAAACAAACGTTTGAAATGTATTTAGGACATTTTAGAGATAAAAAAATAATATTTGAGATTTTGGGGAAGAAGAATAGTTTTTTAATTATGACAAGAAAATCACTTTGCACTCGGACTAGTAACAAAACAGACTTGATATTTTCCCAAACAAATCTTTAGTAAAAATACTTCATTAAAAAATCTGATTTTTTGTGTACAAAAGATTTGGAATCATTACTAAAAGTCTACCAAATTTTGTGAAGTTACATATACAGCATTAGAAGTTATAGTATAAATATATAACATGTGCAAATACTTGTGTATTTTATACTGAGCCCATCATGAAAGGGTTAATCTGTCACATGAAGTAGACTTCACCAGCAGTAACGTTGATTTCAAAACATATGTCATGACAAATTTCTGTCCTGGGATCCACCAGTGAATTCACCACATTACTGCTGTACTTTTACAGGTATTATGCTACTAAGGCTGTTAAACTGGTTGGATAATAGCCAATCACAGCTAGTTTTCATACAATAAATGGAAAGCAATCACTTAACATTTGTATTGTATACTCATTGCACTCACTATTTCCTTAATTATTTCCAATACTGTATATAGTGTTGTGTGTATACATACACTACTGTGCATAAATTAGATATCACAATTCACTTTCCTCTGTAAAAGATGCACAGAATGAAATATAGTAATACTGTCAATCTAAAATATTTATTTAAAACCTTCTAAACCATGTTTGGTTCAAATTAATTCTAAAATACATTAGATGTATGAATGTAATAACTGACAATACACACACAGCTTTTGAAAATTGAAGCATACAGTTTTTAGAAATAGTAATGTCATGACAGTATAAGAATGGGACACCTATATGTAAAAATAATGCAGTAATGTTTAAGTACGGAGCTGTTTAACCACAAGCAGATTTGGTGATCTCTAATGGAGTTCTGAATTCTGTCTGATATAAGCAAATACTAATTCACCACACACCTCTGGGCATCATTTAGTAGAAGAACATCTTTTTCCAGCATGATAATGATACTAAACATATAGTGAATGCATTAATACAGTGCCTTAAAAGTGAGGAAACAGGTGGAACCTTTGCATGCTTATTGTGACCTCCACAGAGCTCAAATCTTAATATTGTTGAATGTATGTGGGTCAATCTTGATAATAAAAAAAAAAAAGCAGAAGCAGCCAAAACCAAAGAAGAAACTCTGGACAGTACTTCAAGATATCTGGAATTCAAATTACTGCTGAGTGAGTATCTCCAAAAGCTTGAAGAAAGCATTCCTCATAGGTTTCAGGCAGAGATTTCAGCTAAGGGTGGTCACACAAAATATTAAGAAACACATTACAAATTTGCTTTATATGTGTTTGTTTTGCTTTCAGACATTATAAGGGTCTGAAATACCTGCCCTAAAAGGTTTTGAATTTAAAATATATGATGACTGAGTACTCTCTAATTTATGCACATTACTGGAGTTATCTTTTTAAAGCATTTGTAGACAATTCTTTTGCTCAGTGATACCTAAATGAGCAAATAATATTGAGATTCAAGAAAAACTCGTTACAAATAGAAGTTGTTAATTTATAACCTTTAGAAATTCATTTGAAGGATCTATGGACATTGTTATCTGAAGGTTTTAGTTCTAAATATCAATCCTAGATATTTCCGACTTCTATAAATCCAACATAACGAGTAGCATATAACAAACAAAAAAATAGGCCTAAAATTCTATTTTTTTACACACTTCTGATTAGAAACATGAAAGTACTCATTAAGAGGAATGTGAAAAAAGAAGAAATATTTGCCATCAAGTATGATTTTACAAGACTGTATTTTTCATGTTTTTTATTCCTGAAATATATAGCCTAAAAGATATTTCTATATAGAACATTTGTAAAAAAAATGTTGTAGTGCACACACACACACACATATATATATATTTTCTGGAGCACCAACTTATTTTGTGTAGTATACATATATATATATATAGTGCACAAAATAAATTGGTTCCCTACAATTCTTGGAAGCAAAAAATTAAAATTTGAAAAATAAAAAGTAACAAATGTATTTGAATGACAGTGTAGTTCTATGAAATCACAGAGCATATACTGTGTGCATTTGTCTGTTAGTGTTTTATTATGGACAATCTTTAAACCCAAGTGGAATGCCTGAAGTGGCTCACTGATGTCACTTATGGCCTAAATTGAAGCCAACAGAGCTGCTGGCAAACTTGAGAGTGGAGATACTCAAGACTCATTGCTACTGACTTCAGTGCAATTTTAAGAAAGTGGAAAAATTACCATTTAAGAAGTGATGGGTCATAACTATATTTCACATTCAAAATTTCTTATGTTTTTTTTCTTACAAAGAAGAAGAAGAAAATAAACTTCACTTTCATTATTTAATAGTTGTGTGTTACAAAATAGTTACTTCCTATAAAATATATGCCAATACGTTTGATTCCTATTTTTTTCACTAAATGCCTAAAACTGAAGGTCTGATTATTCGTGTCAGGGATTAATCCATTACATTTTAGGAGAGAAACCATCTTATGCATATGATTTAAATGCTGAAATATAGCAAGCTACTGGAAAGCAATAGATTACAAATTGTTATAAAAATCAACTTAACTGCAGATTTTAATTTACTTTTCCATACTCCTCTTAAGTTGTCCATTGTGGCTCAAAATCAAAAGTGTGTTAAAAATAGCATTTCAGATCTATCTTTTGTCTTCCATAAGTCGCTTCCAAGGAAGCTTTCTGCTCAGCACCAGATCAGAAATTCTATTTTTACTCTATCTGATTTTGAACTGCAGTGGACAAATTAGGAGGAATATGGAAAATAAACAACTGCAGTTAACTTGATTTTTAGAATAATTTTTGGTTGTTCTTTTCTTTCATGCACTCATTATATTGTTATAACTACACATGGGCAACATGCAAGCTTAGTCCAATAAAACAGGTCATAAAAGAAAATACAAACCACTTTTTGATGAGATTAAAGCAGTTAAGGCTGATTAGGCTTGGAAATAATGAATGAAAAATATATATTTTTTATTCAAAGTTAAGGAAAGGTTAAAACCCTATTACCTAAACCAAAGAAGTAACAGCTGAAATTATATTCTAAAACTTTTGTATACATTCCAGGCTATATCTGTGGTCTAAAAACATGACTGCACATGTTTCTGAGTGGACATAATACTAAAAAAAGATGTCTTATTAAATCTAGATACCAGACTGTAGAAGTGTTATTTTGATCAAAAAGATATATATCTCTAGATGGAATGCAAAACTTTAAATCTTAAACACTGTGGATCACATAGGCTTCACGCACCTGGTACACTTTCAGAACACAGTTTAAGACTATGAAAAAATAAAGTGAACCACAGGGAAATCCATTTCCAACTCCACTGTAATTTTACTCAGTCTCCCGATACTTTTCAGCATGTAAAAATCATTTTTAAAATATATAATAGTTAGTTTTTGTACACTTTATTAAAAGAACAGTTAGATAAAAAGAAAATATTTGTAAAAAAATTGAAAAAGTTATTACTATAATATTCAGAAAGTATTTAGATTTTTCTTAACAGAAAAATAAAGAAACATATTTTCATTTATAATAAAGAATATCTTAAACTTTGTCAAATATTTCAATTAAGATGCTTACTTGTTATTTGACAGTGTTGGGTCCTTTTCAAATGTGAAGTAGTTGGGAATTAACCTGGATCTGTCATAAGGAAGCCAACCATGAACTCCAACAACTCCATTCTGTCCCACTGTCACTAAAGCTTCTAACATTCCATGTTGAATGAAGGATCGAGCAGGACTTCTTGGTACAGCAACAAACACCAGTGGGCTGCTGCTAGTAGAAGCCTAGGAAAAATAAAATTGTGTGAAAAATTGCACATAATAATAAACACAACTAATGTAATATATCAAATTCCAATCAATAAAAATGATAAATGGTTTAAAATAAATTCCACTGATATGATCATCAGACACAATAAACTTACTAAACTCTTATACATTACCAGCAAGTATGAAATTAGTGTTCAAAATAGAAGATAGAATGTGGAGAAAATAGTGGAAATCAAAGTTTATAATTATTATTAAAAAAGATGTGCATTAAGTACACTAAAAAAGTCACTGCAAAATGTTGAACTGGCTTAGAAGGAAAACAGAATACATCAAAGTCAGTACAAGCAACTCAAACAAATTCTACATACAGTTACTAAAAAACAATTCAGAATAAAACTTTATCTAAGAATAATTCCCATGAAACTACAAACTATGAATATGATAAAAAAAATGGACATAATAAAAGATAAAAACATATGTTACTGAAAATCAAGTTAAATTGTACATGAACATCAACTGTTTGAAGAAACAAAAGAAATGATGACAAGACTTCACAGTGAGTTTTTGCTTTTTTTCAAATCAGAAACGAATCAGGTTGAAAATACCAAACTGCTTTTATACTTCACATTCTCTCTGTAGCTGGCCAATTACAAAACTGGATCACAAAGTGTAGAAATACTATGTTTCATGTGATGGTCTTCCATATACAAAGTAAAGCAGGAAACAATACAACTATTTCTTGAAAAAGTAGATGTTTTTTAGTGAGAGGAGCAAGTAAAATCTATGCTTGAGATTGACTAGTGTGAGAGTGAGTCACTTGATAAGTTTGACTTATTATTTGAAAAAATGAATAATAATTAGGTAGTAAATGGTAAGATATAAATTTTATAAAATAAATACAAAAATTAACAATTTGTAAGTGTTCTTTTTGATGGTGTGTGTTTTTTGGAAAATATCTGTAGTAGTTCTTTTATAACTGACAAATATTATAAGTTGGTTCATTAATCTGATGTGGCACCAATGGCTTTTTAGAAAAAGAACTAGCATAATATGAAATATAAACACAATTACCTCAATAAAAAACACCTTCAGATTCTGTAAAAATAAGAACAAACTTGGGGGACGAGTCTCAACCTTTGACATCCTTAGCATAGCTTCTTCAAAAGACATTCTTTTTGGATGAGGTTCCTAAAATATGGAGTACAAGGTTTTGAAAGTAATAATAATATTAAAAGAAATTAACAAGATGATATAAATGACAAAAAAAGCCTCAGATATAAAGCTTTTTAAAACCATTTGATTTTTTATTTTCCAATTGTCATTTTCATAGACAAGTCTTTCAATACAAAGATTACTCACAAAAAGGAAAAAAAATCTTATTCACAAATCATTCACAAGGACCACATAAATATGTTTGTGGAGCTTAACTCTTATATACATGAAGGTTTAAATAACGTTTTCATAACTAACTGTAAAAAATGTAAGACATTCCATCCATAGGTAATAAAATCATCCAACATAATAATGAACACCTGACAAAAACATATTCTAGATCAATCTTCAAAGAAATTGTGTGTAAGCTATGTTTTTAATATTTTAATTTAGTTGTTTGTTTGCTAGGGAGTTAATCATGATGACAATGCAATATATGTATATAATTTAAGAAAGTTAAGACATCTGTAGAATTAGTAATTTGGGGCAGTATGTACAAACAAGGGAACAATATAAATATCAGAGGTATTATACAAGTAAGTTTATAAGTAAGTTAGGTGTGGTGCCATTAGTCTCAAAATTTCTCTCGAAATTATATATTTGAACTTAAGCATACAACCTTTGTCAAAATGAAAGTAAATGTGTAATAAATGTTAAGACAGAAATAAACTAATTCATTAGCATTATTCTGACTGGATGTGGCATTATTTTTACCATATAATCCAAAAGAACACATTACAATAATATATTTCTTCTTCTTTTTTTTTGTTAGATTTCAAAATAATTTAGTAAAATTATGATTCAGTTTAAAATTTTTTTAAATGTAAATCTTAACTTAATTTGAAAAGTAATTTTTGAACTGCAGATAGATGACATGTTATGTTGCATTAAAATAAATTAAAGAATTTAAAGTGCATTCCCATTCAACAGACATATTTTACTAGTTTTTTCTTTGAGAATAAAAAAAACTACATATATCAAGCAAGCAAACATATTCAGTGTAAACATTCCTAGTGAGAGAATTTCATCTCTGGCCTTCAACCATCAATTTTACAACAAGACTTATTAACAACATTTTAACATTTGTAAAAATTGTTTATCACCCATTACTTCCATAGGTCTGAAGATCAATGTTCTGTCGAAACATGTATTATGTTTCCCAATATAAAACCACTTCATTATGCTTATAAATCATTCTTTGTCAATTTACTATTATATTAGCATAATGTGCTTTCATAAACAAGTAACATATTATTAGGTCATCAAAATGACCATATAAGAGATGTTATCAATAAATACTACCACTCAGTTTACAAATCCTCAACAAAACATGCAATAAAAATCACAAAATATTGTTACCTTTAACAACTGGCAAGGTGTTTGACCAAAGTTATTAATCATGCCTTCTGTAGCTGCTCGTTCTATTGGATCTTTAATAGCATCAAGATCTACAGCACCTACATTACCAAAACAAGCAGGCTGTTGTATTTTACACAAGATAGAGAAAGTTGTACCTAAACATTCATAAAAAAAAAAGTTAAACAGTGACTAGGACTGGTCATATTTCAAACAGTATTTACCTTCTGAATGGATTTTATGGCTGCACAGACAACTTCCCATACTTTCCAAAAGACTACCTTCATGATTTAATTGTTGGCATTAGTCAACTCAAGCAGGTGAAGTCATGTATTTAGGAACATACTCATACACTAGTGGAGTAAGCTGCATGGCATGATTAGAGTTTGGTCTTTATAATATTTCTGTCATTCTTATTCCATTATAAGTATGACAGAAATATTCTAAAAAACAAACTCTAATCATGCCATGCAGCTTACTCTCTATAGATCTACTGAGTCACATAATCAGATGATCAATGAACATGAGTGTTACTCTGAAGCAAAGATGGTGGGATGTTATGTTGACTCAGAATTTATGCTATGATTTTTATCTACTTCTGACATGGGCTATTCTATGCTCATATTGGTACATGTTCTTTGAAAAAACATTAATAGTTTCTTGTACCACTTATAAGATTATTTATGAATAGTGATTTAAAATCAATAACTATAAAAATATGAATATAAAATTTTAAGATCAATACTAAATGAGAAAAAATGAGTTATAGTTAGTAATGAATTCATTACTTATATGTCCCCCCAATAAATTCACCAGAAAATGTAAAAACTACAGCTACAAATATCAATATTTGATAATAACTGGGATTTTTTTATCCCTTTTATGCATATGCTTTGCAAATAAGTTTCAAAATCATTTAAAAGTGTAGTCCAGGTTTTTGATTATTCACATAAAGATACTTTATATTTTAATTTAATTATGGTGTTTGAACAATGCAGAATAATCATCATAACAAAAATAATAATAGTACAATGTACAAAAATTACTACAATAAAATAACAAACACAATATATAATAAAAACTAACATATATAAACATATTAAATATTTTAGCCATACAGTGTCCCCAAGTGAGATCCAGCACACCATGGTAAAAGTCATGCTTGTTTTGGCCAGCTTAATAAGCTAACATTGTTAAATAGTCCTTATAATAAAAATTTAATTCTTGTAAATGGCTATTTTTTGGTATAGGGGAAAAATAAAAAAAAGTAAATAATGTCACACAATACTGCTATGATATTGATACAATCATTGTTTTACAATAAAAAAAATTTTACCAGCTATATATTGTTTTCTTGACAATACATTTGTACAGTTTGGCCAACGTGTCTTCCAAAAACATCTAGGAATAGCTATGGGAGGTAACTTTAAACCACAAGTTATGGATGTATGTTTATTACAACTTGAATTTTCATACATTACAAACATTGGTTAAAAAGAAGACAAGTACATTTTGCACATCAGTAATACTTGTAGATATATTGATGATATCCTTTTACCTAATTCTCAAGGTTTTCTTGATGTTTTCTAACAAATTTATCCAACAGAACTTATTCTTTAAAAAAAAAAAAGCTCTTTCACTAATAATAACAAAGCACAGTACCTAGAATTTGGATATCAACATTGTTAATCAAACATTTAAGATTAAAATTTCATTAAATTATACATCATATTCAAAGTATAAACTTTACATTTTCAAATGAAAAATTTCTGAAAAAGCTATTTTTACTATATTTAACTGATTTTTATGAGTAACATTATCATAGAAACATTGTTTTACAAACACAAAGTATTAACTTATCAAAATTGTTAAATAAGCTTGAATTTGTAGATAAAATGCTAAAGGAAGAAAAAACAAACAAACAATGGATGAATGTCAGTAAAAGCCTAAAATGGCTCATTACATAACAATGTTAATTTTGACACTTTTACTGTATGTATGATTTACAATACAGCAATTACACAAAAACACTATTAATATTGATCTTCCAAAATATGTTATTATTTAGCATATTTACACAAGAGTAGAACATAAAGACAAAATGTGTATTAACTTATTTAACTCGCATGATAACTTTTTACTTTCATGTGGAAAGTTGAGGGAAACACACTAACTACAACAAACTGAAATTTTACAAATAAATCAAGACCTTCAAATGAAAATACAACAATGACAAAAAAAGTATATATTTAACCAACTCATTAAACGACCTCACAGGTTCCTACCTTCATAAGAAACATAATAAAATACATTTAGGGCTTCAACTGCTGCAGGTCCTTTCTGCTTGTAGCCAAAGATCAAGTCTATCCACTCATGTATGTGTGATGAAACGTATTCCGACTCCTAATCAAATTGAATATTATTTGTAACCAGTAAGTTGTTTGTAAGATCATGACTATCAATAAATATATTTTACTACATGTACTTAAGTTCCTTATTCTAGTCTAAAACTAATTTATCTACATATACAGTAATTCTGTTTGCCAGTACATAATCTGTTTCCTTAGAGGCAAGATATCTAGGTTCATTAATCATGTGAATGTTTTAATATATCTTCTGATTCCTAATTAAAACAAGAAAACTACCAGTAATTAAATACAAATACTATTAAAACAAGTGATATAAGTGTTGGATGGATTACATTGATTCTGAAGTTAAATAAAAAAAGAGAGATCCTAAAGAACATAAAATAAATCATGGAAGAACCTAGGGATGCCAGCAAATTTTACCCTATTACTTACTATGAAGTCTCCAAATCCAGTGAAAGAAATGCAATGAGAAACTAATTTCAAACATAACTGCAGAATTAAGAGTAGCAGGCAAATAAGAAATAGAATCATGCAGTTTCCTGTAGTAGTGGTATATACATCTGCAATGAAATTTACAAACTGAGACATGTCCTGACAGAACAGGCAGAAATCTATTAAAGATGCAATATAAAACCAAAATGGTCCAGAAGTAAAAACAATAAAGGGTTGTAAAATTACCAACTTAAACCAGTCAACCCTCCATGGTTGGCTGTATCAAGAACCCAATGAAACTGCAATATCGATATGGACAAAACTGTCTCTCAAAGTAAATTTATAACAAGTATGTTATATCAAAATGATTTAGAATACGTCTCTTGACAACCACAACCAATATAAAGTTGTGGTAGAATGGTAGGTATCAGAACTATATTTTGATATCAATAGTTTCATTTTACTTTCTGTTCAAGTATTATTATTTTTTGGTAATAAAGTAACCTTTCGACATTGCTTGGCATTTTGTAGATAGCGCGATGCCACTGAAAACTGCTCTCTTTTGGGAAGTGTATGTAAAAGCCTTTTCCAACACACAATATTCGTATGTTTAGATCATAAAAATAAGTTCAGATCAGGAATTTAGAATATGGACAAATTTCAGCCACTAGGACTATCCTGAAAGAGACCTGCAATAACTTTTACTCCAGCCATAGTAAGCAAAGTATGGCATCTTGTAATAGGTGAGAATCCATGACAACAAAGGTCAGTGGCAAAAGCTGTCCAAATTCCAGAAAACATAATCAAGAAAAGATCTCCATCTGGAAAAGTGAAACAAGGTATATGTACTTAAACTGCTTTCACAACATAACCAGTACATGACAGTACATGGTGATACTTGATGTAGTGTGTGTACCTTGGTAACTGTAATAAGTGTGTGCCATTTTGTACCAATCTTCTCCATAACAACCTTAATACCAACTAGTTTGTGGTCAATTGGTATTTTTATAAGCAAATCATTTTCACATCCTGGCTCAGTTGGCAGCCATATAGGACAAGCATGTTTAGTAAGAGGGATTTGAACTCGTGACCCTCAGATTGTGAATTGAGTGCCCTAACCACCGATCCATGCTAAGCCCTTTGCACCAGTCAATGGGTAAAATTTTGTTTTTAATTGGTACATGACAGGTCACAAACCTTTTCTGAAAGGATACATGATCATCACTGAATACTGTTTTTTTGGAGCAATAGGATGCAAACCCTGAATCTTCTGATTCATAGTCTATGCAAACTAGCAACAAGGCTATGCCTGTCTCATCTGTATGGGAGAAACTAAGGCAGATTTGACTCATCATAATGAAGCACTACAGAAAGATTTATGCCTCCTAAGGAGACATACAAGTGAGAAATCATAAGCTCCTAAAAAATGAAATGTTTGTACGGTATCTGAATACAGCTATGATGGCATCAGTTAAAACAACTGGATAAATCATGAACCAAAACCTGGGTAGAATGAAAGTCGACTTCATAAATCTAATATCCTAACTCACCAGCATGTACACCACTTCACAAGGCTTCACATGTGAAGGTAACTTTTAATTTGATCAAGTCTTGTATCACAAAGTTTACAAGTTCTAAAATTAAGGAATTGATATTTCGTATAGATAAAAAAGTTATAAAAGTTCAAACTTTATAGATAATTCATTTTCTATTTTTCAAAATAACAAATTTGGGATAAAACATCATAAAAAATATCTTATTGATGTCAAACAAGAAAATATTACACTGACTCCCAAAATAACATTAGCTAGATTAAAAGTATAAAAAAAATAGCTTTGTCAGGTGGAAAAAATTAAATACCTATCTGGCAGTCATATTTTTAGTATGAAAATGAACTGAGAAATATTTTATTTGAATTCTGTAATAAGTAAGCAATATAGGACTGAAATTATTATGGGTATCTTCAGCCTAAACAGAGTTGAAAACCTCATCAATATCAAGAACTATCATAGGATAAATCTATAATAATTCTACACTTATAATAAATTTTACTAAGCTAACAACTGGAAACAAAAGTATTTAAAAGTTAAATGGAAATATAAAGATTTCACTGAATGTTAAAAATAATGAAAAATAACATATTTACTTATTTCAACTACAACATTCAAAGTAATAGCCAAAGAATTGACTTTTCTAGTAAAAAATACCTAGAATCTTAAAATAATATGGCACTGAAATACACAGAAAATGTTATATAATGGTTTAAATGAGTAATAAAAATATAAAATAATTAACTTTGCTAAAACTGTAATTGAATAGATGTATTGACAATTTGAATACAACTGAAAAATAGATACAATCCACCAACTAGATAAATCACCAAAACTTATTCACTATGCACTATCTTAAGTAGCTTCAAATTTGTGTTTGAAACCATAACAATGAATGAGAATTATCCATAAACTATCAATTTCATAACTGCATTTAGAACTCTTACTAAAGCTTTCCTGTGTTTATAGATAAAATCTTCAGGAGACTTTGCCCAGACTGGTAACTTGACATCATTAACTTTTTCCTTTGTCCCTTGAAGTCTTCCTAGATCAAAACCTGAAACAAGTATATACATGTACAATTACACACTGGAAGGAAAAACAGAAGTTACCTTCACTCAAAACAAAGGCACTAAATTAAAACTGTATTTTACAATCATGAGTTAACACTGCTAAACAACAGATTCATGTGAAACACTGTCTTTTTGCACCAAGAAATCCTGCTGTTGTGAACAGTAACTAAAATTTTCAAGCAAAACTAACCCTTTGTACCATTAAAGTATGATGTGATCAGTAGAAACCAAGATTCTTATCTAACACTATCTCTGCATCAAGAAATGCACTTGTGAACACCAACTTTCACATCAAAAAAGTATAGTTATAACTACAAACTAAAGTGCTTGTGTACACTGTTCTTTGCATCAAGAAAGCACAATGTCAACAGTTGATACTAAAATTCTTGCAAACCCTAAACTTCACACCAAAAAAGCATAAAGTTATAAGTAGAAGCTAAAGTGCTTGTGTAAACTGTTCTGTGCATCAAGAAAGCACAATGTCAACAGTTGATACCAAAATTCTTGTGAACACTAGTTATTGCACCAGGAAAGGATGCAGTGTCCGTAAAACTAGGATACTTATATGACACTAGCCTTTGCCAAAGAAAGCATGATGTTTTCACGAAATAGTAATATACTTTTTTAACATGATCCTTCCCACCAAGAAGGAATGCTGTCATCAGCAGAAAGTATACAAATTTTTCAATTAGTAAAGAGGTAAAATTACACACTGATGAATAAATTAATTCTGTCTTTAGATGAAAAAAAAACCACAGCACTATTTAACTGAAACAAGAATTAATTTTTGTAAATTCTTTTAAGTAAACTTATTTTTTTATCTGAAGATCCCATACATGTAAAAACAAATAAGCTCTTTCTTCATGTGCTTAACTACTATCAACTGATAATAAAGTTCTAAATTAAGGTGAGTACTTACCACTTTTGCTAAACTTTACGTTCACATGATACAGAGGGTTAAGGACATTATATTAAAATTTATTTTAGAGCAACAAAACACCATTGCATTCCATATCACAATGTTCGGTCGTGCTATATTGGACAACCTTGCATGACGGAAACTGACCTGTAGCATAGTTTCCATTGTAAAATGCTCCATCGTAAGCCTGTAATGGCCAAAGAATACTTCTCCTCCCAGCAGGCTTTCCACAATCCATATAGTGTACATGGATAATGGTTTCCCAGTGCCCATTATTATGATTCAAATACAGAGAAAGTCATAGGTGCAACTTCTGTTATGTTACTAGTATGTCTTTGTATGGAATAATGTGAGTACCTGTTTCATTCTTCAGCTGTTTGAGGTATGCAACAGTTGAATAAAAGGTACGACTGAAACTAGAAGCCTTTTCGTGGTGAGCCCATACTCTGTTGGCCTTATTTCCAGATGGAGACCCTTTTTCATTAAATTGTATACTGTTATCTAGAACACGTGAATGGCTTTTGTCATTGACCTTTGTGTTCATACATTTTCACCTGTTACAAGACACCACACTTTGCTCACCACAGCTGGGGTATGACTTGTTACAGGTCTCTTTCTGGATGGTCCTGGTGTCCCAAGGTCATCCAAGTTCCTTTGTTTCCTAATGCCATTAAATACAAGATATATCCTAGTCTAGGAAATTCCAATCCCCTGATCTAAACACATATTTATAATCTCAGAATATGAATGTTTTGCATCAGAAAGGACTGTTACATATATTTCCCAAAAAGCAATCAATTTTCAGTGAATATGTCAAAATGTAGTTTTGATATTCACTATGACCTTATATCAGTTGTGGCTATCACGTGGATTGTTGATTCACTTCTTAAAAATCATTTTAATATAACATTCTCAACCCTGCAGATACCAAATTTTATCAAGCTCCATGGTTAAGTGTACAAATATCAACCTGCAAGTGTAAGTGTGTCAAGATCAGTTTGCTCCAATATGAAAGCTTTATTTTTCTGTTGTTTAAATGTCTTAATTATCAAAGCAAATACTGAAATAAACTTTTGTTATTTTACTTAAACACTTCATATTCATAGCAGTTTGAAATTAGTTTCTATTTTCAAGTAAATAAATATAGTTTATAATATTAACTTCATTGTACTTTCAATGATAAAAATGTATGTATACATTATGTTCATAAACATACGTGATCTAAAGTAAAAATTTTTATCCCGTTTTTCCATTTCAAATTACATAAATAAACCAGGTTCCTTATAAATGTATTAAATCAATCTATAGTTATAAAAATAAATGTTTTAAGCATTTTGTTTTTATTTTAGTATTCTTTATAGTTCATTTAAGCAAATGTTAGCAAACTATTAATTATGTGAGGAAGGCTGAGGACAGTGCATTGGTAGGGATAGAGGGAGATAAAGAATTATGATAAAAAAAAATCTTAAGGATAATATATTTTCACATCAAATAGTATTTTGTAAATAAATAATAAAGTGTTGATTTCATATTTAAAAAAAACAAAACAAGTTGTTAATAGGCCTATAAAAAAATTTGAAATTACATGTCAATTACTATGCAAAATCCAACAAAACAATAGCTGTACCAATGCTACTAATGATGAATAAAATATATCACCAGCTTATTCTAGTTGATAATAGAGATTGTCATCTAAAGAAGATTTACATATTTTATTGGTATTTTTTAAGTGACTAATCCCATTACTCTTATTACTCTCAATTTGTTTGTTGTTAAGCACAAAGTAAACAATAAGCTATCTGTGCTCTAACCAACCTGGGTAGCAAAACCCAATTATTAGCATTATAAGCCCTCAAAGCTTACTGCTCAGCCATCAGAGACCTTACTCAAAATTAAAACAGTGTTTGTATGATTTTTACAAGTTTTGTTTTATGGTGTTTAAGTTCAATAAATATACAAAATTAGTCACATTATTTGCTAAGTTACTTTATAGTTTTGATATATTTAGTTAATTTGCTTTGGTCAGAAGTTACTGATAAGTTAGTAACTTGAAACCAAAAACGTATTAGTGTCTATTGTAAGTAGCAAAATTCATACCATGAGAAATTTAAAACTGCAATAACAGCACTCTATAACATAGTGGGTTGGCCTGTATAATGTGCTTTTTGATTTACATGTCAGCTCTATCCTGTTTTGGAATCAAAGGCCAAAGGTGTTTAATACTGTTCGGCATTTTAATTGGTTCTAGTATCATTTTTTCCCTTGAAATTTTATAAATATTAATAACTGATTAAGCTTTAATGAAAGAGAAATTAATTTCAGCTGTTTTTTATCTGATGAGCAATTTTCTATCTATGAACTGGGCAAACAATCTACTGATCAAACTGTACCGTTTCTCACATTAGCAGGTATATGTAAATACTGATAATATACACATCTGAGTAATTCTTTACCCAGCAGTTTTTAGACTACATAATAAGATTCATTTATTGATATGAAAAAATGTCAGGTTGCAAGATGTCAAAATTTGGTTCAATGATTTTACATTGATTTTAAACTAGGGCTTAATCCCCAACCTAAACAAAAATCTTAAACATTTTTCAGAAGAGGACATACATAAACAGCTTGTACAAAAATGTTACCAACTTCAGCTTTTTTCATTTACGCCATAAAATTATTCATAATATTGTTTGTGGGCAAAGAGATACTATTAAATTTTACTACTTTACCATTCATGTTAACAAGAAATTCAGGCAGAAAGTAAAACTCTGGAGTAAGTTCTTTAACATCATTAGGATTTTCTATTAACATTCGCCAGGTGGCTTCTATGGACTGGAACTGTCGATCAGCTACATCAAATCTAAAAAGGCAAATAATTAACTTCCTCATAATAAAAATATATCATGAAGTTTTTAACAAAGTGAAAGCATTTAATGTAAGAAACACAATGTCAGTAAAGCATTACCACAAATATATTGAAGTATATTAGTGTTTGTTTGTTGAATTTTAAAAAAAGGTACTCAAGGGCTATCTGCATTAGCTGTCCCTAAGTTTGAAGTGACAGATTAAAGGGAAAGTAGAGAGTCAAACCATTCACTCTTTAGTTACTATTTACCAATGGACAGTGGGACTGACTGTCATATTATAACACCTCCATTGCTTAGAGGAAGAGCATCTTCAGTGATGAGTTTTGATCCCATGTCCTGCAGATTGCAACTCAAATGCCTTAACCACTAGGCCATGCCAGGCCCTATATAATAATAAGAAATTAAAGGTATGTGTAAAGCAGCACAAAACAAAAATATTCAAGAATGTTGTTTTAGAATCAGGACAGACACTTGTAGGATAGTGCAGTTTTTGTATGTCAGAAGAAGCTGATAGATGTTTATATAGTAGCAAAACAGAAACACAAAAGAATACCCTGACAACAATATACACATGCAATAATATTTAAACCTTTAAGATAAAAATTTTGTTTTTAATTCAATGAACCAAATGAATAAAATTATTTAAAAACTACCATTAATAGTCAGATTTCTTGAACATACCTGGAAAAAAATATTGCTCAGGTTAAAAAATGTCTATGTTTGTGGAATGTAAAAGGAGAGAATGCACAATGTTTTACTACACAGATGCTGTACGTATAAAGTAGATAGTGCATAATCATCAGTTTATTTGAAGAAAAAATTCACTGATCCCAACAACATTTAAAGAATTTAATAATTTACTAAAATGTTATTTAGAACAGTGTCAAACTATAGTATTTTCATCTAATTGTTTATTTTCATAATGAAAAATCATTGTAAGCACAAAACATACCGACTCCAGTTTGTAATTCCAACAATCGATGTTTTAAGAAAATACTCTTTTTGTTCGATCTATTACTTTTACATAGAAATTGTTTGCTTTTTGGATATTTCTGTACAGCTACTCAAAGTCTATCTGGAATAGCCATCCCTAATTTTGAACTGGTAGACTTGAGGAAAGGAAGTTCTTCAACAGTACCTACTCCCAACTATCGTTTGAATGAATAGTGGAATTTGACCATCACTCTTATAATACACCTATGAACCCAAAATGGAGATACAAATTTGAATAGTTTTTAATTAACAGGATGTGAATGATGGAATTGCAGATCCACAGTTTGGCACACTAACTACAGGACCCTGCTATGCTCATAAGTGGAGATAATCACTATGTTACAACCCTATATAAACTAAATATAAAGTATTGGAATTATTTCCTTTAATTAAACCAAATGAAATCTTGTGTTAACAGTTGGGATTTGTATATTGTATAATTTAAAAATTATAGCAGTAATTAACTCATAATTTACACATATATTATAATCATAAAAGTCAAGTGTCAGTTAGTTGGTCAATCAGTCACGCTCAATTTCTCCAAATGTTGTGAGTTACATGAGCCTTGTTCCACTTTTTTCTCCTATACTTTTCTCTTTTGATTGCATGTTCCCATTTTAGTTGAATTAAATCACTAATGTAGGCATAAATAGCTCCTAAGTTTTGGCACTTTTTCTGTTATATAAAAGCCTGTAAAGGAGAAAGTTTCCAGGACCAGATCAGGCATGGTGTTATGTGTGTGACACCACATCATTATGAAGTCAAGCTGGGTAGAATCTGAATAGGAAAGCTGGGAGGACTCCCATGACCAAAGATATGGAAGTGCATTTGCACCCTATTAATGGCTGTGAAAAATAATTTCCAAAATTAGCACAAATCTATGCTTGGGAATTATTATGAAAAAGCCTATATTAAAACAGACTGAAAATATCAATTATCTGTAGGGAAAAGGATGACTGTGCCTCAAAAGAAGAACAGGTGTGTATGCAATCAATGGTCATTGTATGATTTACTCTTTTATCCAAAGCTACCAAATATGTAGCATGTTCCTGGGAAAGGAAATTTTATATTTCTTTTGCGTATTGCAGTTTTATATGGAATAGTTCTGTTTTCCAGTGATTTCCCGCCATTTTTGATGGGCTTTTATACCACTATTAATTATAAAAGCTCTATTTACCACAAAAAGAAAACTGATAATATCAAGACTGAAAGTTATCTGTACAGAAAATAAATGTTTCAAAATAAATTTGTTTAACTCAAAATATAACAGTTTCTACACCAAATGCAAACACAAAGAAATACAAGTTTCTCAAATGAATAAAATTAATAAAAATTCATAATAAGCAATCATGTGTGATATGCAAATAGAAAAATAGCTTTAATGAAAGATATCTGTACAATTCAAAGCCACATGCATAAATCTATGGAAACATAATTGAAAGATGTATCTAGAATATCACCACATGAATCCAAATAATCACAAAAATAAAGAAGTTTAACACAACAAAAATTCTGTAGATCAGCAACACATTCATGTTCAAGAAGTGAAGGATTTCACACCAAACTATGTTTAAAAACAACTCAACTTACAAACTCATCTGTGTTAAAAAGAATAAAAATTCAACAAACTGAATGATGTCTGTAGAACAATCAATAATAATTGTACACTTAACAACAATGAGTTTTCAAGACCTCAAGATGGCTGTAACCAGTGTAAGTGAGACAAAACTGTTAAACACAAATTTGGCAGTCCAGTTCAGCAATTAAAAACTAAAAGTTTCATAAAAACAAAAGTTTTGGATATCATTTTCAAAGTTGTCTACAATACTTAAATAATAATAAAAATAAAAAGCTATTAAACACAAGGTACAGATGTGACAATGTAACTCTTCTCACCGGCCACTTTGGAGTTCAATGTGAAGTGATGTAAATGGTTCCATCCTGACCATGTAGTGAACAACTCCTGCTGAATTGGAGTAATGGGTTCCATAATGGAATTTTTCCACCATCCCTGTGATGTCAACAAAGTGGTCATATCTATAAAAAAATAATAATGAAAAAATCCAGTAACAAACTCTCTGGAACTGTAAAATAAATGTTACGAAGTGAGAAAAGTACAATAAAACATTTTAGTTTTAAAAGGATTCCTCTAAATATTATACCTTAAGCCTTCTACTTTACAAATTTATATATTTGTAATGTGGAAGACTTAAAGTGTAATGTTTAGGAGTTAATAAAATGTATGTGTACATACATATATAAACTCAGTAAATAGCAAGAACTTAGCCCTTTACAGACTAGGAGTGTGTGCAATTAACAACTGCTGATTTTTTCTTCCCACAGCAGAAATAATAAACCAATTCCTTTGACTCTTTGTTAAAACTTAACAAATAGTAACTAGTTTGTAAAAACAATAAAAGAGTATCTAGTCCTGGATTTCAAATATCATATAATTTGATTAACTTTTTCTCTAATTTTTTCATGTTGTGAAATTTCAAATATTTTGTTCACGAATACGATACCCTAGGGGTTATAGGGTATCGTATTTTTGAGTTAAATTGATTTATTGAACTAAGTGTTTTTCCAACATCACAAATATTTTGTGAACAAACAGTTTGAAAAAAGAAATTAAAAATACTTATTCTTGTCTTAGAATTTCAATTTTTTTATTGTGGACCAGAAAGTTCTATTATATATACAATCAATTTAAATTTCATCAATATATTTCTTTTGATACTTTATTTTGTTAATTGTAGTAGCCACCAATTCTGTAAAAAATATAGAGAAAACTTACAAAGACTTATTAGTGACTTATGTTATGAATTATCACAATGACATCAGATCAGATTTTTGCTAACAGTATTCTTGGTTGAGATCAATTTATATTTAATAACTATTGTTTCTTTTCAATAAATAAAGATTTGAGTTCTCAGAATATTTTTCCGTCGTCTTCCATATTCTTTAAACGTAATAAAGCTTACCGCACATCTTGCCATAGAAGGAAAATTCCACATCTTTCAAACAAATACGTTAATATAAAAACATTTTCAAGAATGAAAAGAGCATCTAAAGAAACTAGAGAAGTTTTCAGATCTGTGGTTTATTCAAAAATTTTCTAAACATCCTACTACATTCCACTGTTCTATGCAGGAGTTAACTATTTTCACTATTCCATAAAACCATAAATTACTTCTCATTCTGCTATATTCAGTTTACATTGAGATAAATATTTATAACATGCATTCAGTGGTATCTAATCTTGCTCTGTAGCTATTTTCAAAACTGAACTACATTAGTGTTTCTTCTGATCACATGCTATGAAGGCATAACAAGGTGGGAAAGACGAGCTATCTAATAAAATCAGAGGAAAAAAAATACAAAAAAACACATAAGAAATGAAACCTTGAGAATTATGTTCTCAAAGGATGATAATTTCTTAGAAAATATAAACTTATGCTTTAGGTTGGGCAGAAAAATTCTAAAAAATAATTAATAATTGCATTGTTTACAGGAAAGGTTCCTTGGGGCACTGCAGAATTTGATGCACAGGTGTGCACTCGATATCTGAAAGGTGGTCATCGGTCTGGAACAGGTTATTTTGCATATTCATCAGGGTAGATAAAAAGGATAAAATCTAACTTTCAAACTCTTATTGGAACAAATTCACAGGATGAGAGATAACATAACCAAAATAAAAATTCTAAAACACAATTTAGAGAATTCTACAGCCAGGTATGGACAAAACTAGTTTTTGATTTGATGATCAGTGGAAGTACAAAATGGTCCTTAAAAGTTTGAAGGAAATAATGATTAAAAGCAGGAACACCACATCAGAAACAATTTAGTTTGAAGGGGAGATTAGAAGAATGATCTTTCAATCACTTAAAGCCAAAGAAAATGAAAGAAAACCTTTATGAACAGACTGAGCCAACTTTAAGGTGAAAGCAAAGAAATAGTCCTAAAACTATCAACATCAACAAGAAGGCTGATAAGATAAATTAGTTATTAGAAAAAGAGAGTTTGAAGTTAAGAAGAACTTACGAATTTCAAACCACAAGTCACCAGGCACTGAACACACATTGCTCTGACTTTTTATATATAAAGGGAAATATATATATTTATATATATTATAGTTTTGATTTCTTACAAGTTAATCATTACAATATTAAACATAATACATTTTCATAACATTTTACACATTTCCTGTACACTCTAATAGAGAATGTAGCTTTTAATTCTTAGATACTCTTCACATTTTCAACACACAAAGTAGACTTCAATTTTTATTTCCATTTTCGTCTACTAAATATAGTCGGGCTTTTGACATATTTTGTTTAACATAACACAGAACATGGTTTGACTTTCTACACATGAATGTTCTTAATACACCAACAGATAGTTCACATACTTAGTTTTAACTTCTGAGACATTCTTGGGATTAACTACTCCAATTGGTCGCGAAAGATCTCTAAACACTGCTGGGTTTTCTAAGTCAAGCTCTTCAGATGTGTAGTCTGCCAGTATCCATGGAAACTAAAAACAAGGAACAAATATAAATATAAACAACATTAATATGATAGAGCATTAATGAGAAAGAATAATTAATTGAAAGTAGAAAAAATAATGATCAAAATAATTAATATGTTTAGCATAATGATATATATGTGACACATATTTTTACTCTTTCAAACAAGTCATGTCCCAAAATACAATATCTCAGGCCAAGAATGTTATATTCCTTTTATCTAGTAAAATAAAAAATACTCACAACTGGGTACTGGCTTAGGTCATTGTATGTACGTCCAGCAATTGTATTTAGCTGCATCAAGTACTCAAAATTAGAAATTTCACATTGAACCCATTTTTGTGTTAAACCTGAAGCTTTTAAAAGCTCAGCTGGTGACCTTATTCCATGACTGTAGAACAAGTTCACAGGTTTAAGACCAATTAATCGGCTGTAGATCTTGTTTCTCGTCTGAAAATAGTGAAAACTAAAAATTAGGTTTTTAGTGGATACAAACCGTGACTTAGACAAATTCTGATAAAAGAAAAACAATAAAAAAAATCAAGTTAAGAACAAAGAATGAAATTCACAATAACCATACCCTGTTTTACTCAAAACGTTTTTGAGGTTAATTAAACAAATTTATCATCTTAACAACAATAAAATAATCAAGTTAAGAACTAACTAAATTCACAATAACCATACCCCGTTTTACTCAAACTTTTTTTGAGGTTAATTAAATGAATTTATCAATCTTAAAAATGTCAAGTTAAATAAGAATCCAGCACCAACATTTATTTCAATAAAAGAATCTAAGAAATCGATACAATATGCTTAGTCTAGCATATTCTAGAAGAAAAGTCTGCTCGTCCTGTGATCTAAACATTTATATTTTTTCTTATTTCTTTTAACAAATGAACTACATTCTATACATTTACCAGATAAACTCAGTGCAAAATTACAGACATATAAAGAATGCTGTTAAAATTATATTGTACATAAATCACCCTTTATACAAGTTATTTAGTACTACTACTGAAGTAAAAAACATTTTATCATTGTAATTAATAAAGAGTCAGTTTACATGTACCTTTTGAGTGAAGTTAAGAAAAAAATTACTCTGGTCGATGAGGAAGAATTCCAAAGCAGAACGTCTGAGATTGTAACGCCTGAGATGAACTTCTCTCAGCTGGGCAAGTGAGTACTTGAAATCATAACGTTCCCCTAAAAGTCCAATTATATGGTTTTTAAAAATGAACATGTAAAATTGAAAGCTTAAGTTACAAATCTTCAATAAGATAAAATATTTAATTTTTTCCAATCTGCATGAAATTGTGGGAAGAAAATAACAATTTTGCATTTATGACACTTTAAAAAAGTTTATATGCAAACGTAAAGGTCAGTAAAGATAGGCACTTTCTACTTGCTAGTAGCTTTATAAATGCTTACTTGATAATATGATAAAATAAAAAGAGCCAATTTATAAACATAGCCAGTATCATCTATTAATTCGAAATTATTCATTAGTTGCTTCATCAACAGAAATACAGCATCACTGTTCCTATGTGCACTAATTTGTCCTTATTGTTTATATCTAATAAGAACTTAATTTTCAAACAAATGCATTAAAATAACAACCTATTCTTTTCTGATAAAATGTCTTTGTACTTTTAGTATGCGTATACTACATACCTTACTCCCCTTTAAATGTATATTTTTTTATCTATGAAATATAAAAATATTTCTAAGTTTCAATTTGGAACATCCTAAATCTGGTTGACATGGGTTACATTCAGTTTGACGTGTTTCTTTTTGTAGGTTGACTGGCCAAGAAACTTATTTACTGGTGAACTATGAAAACCATTTCATGCTGCACCACCAGCTAAAGTTGGTAAAACACTAGAAACACCAGCTGTAACAATAGTATGTACAATACGTGGGGAAGATGCAACTGAAACTAATAGTTCTGCTAGCATTACTTCATTTGTACTAAACCAATAAACAAATATATGGGTGCTATTACACCTGAGCCCACTAATCAAAGATTGTGCAGATAAATCTAAGTTCAGATCAGCAGAGAAAGCTTGGGAAGTGACTAATGGATTTTGCCAACATATTTATCAGATCAGACAGTTAGCTAGGAAGAAAAACCATTACCCAGCATCATACAGATACCAGAGATGCATGTCATATAAAGCAAACACCAACATAAACTTCCTTGGAACATCAGGGATAGTGCAAATTCTGAGAAAGATTGGTTGCTGTAAAATTAAAGTAGTTACTGCACGAAAGAAAAGAGGTACATTGAGGTTCTGTGTGGACTTCAAGAATGTGAAAGCAGTAATTCTAATCCACATGATTCCATGATATCTGAGAACCATCTCCAGGGAGAACATCAGTCAACTGCTTTATACTTGTGAACATACAGATAGCCAGGTATTGTTTTGAATGGGTTATAGAGGGCAGCCAAGATTGCTGAAACAGAATCTACATTCTTTTAGATAGTAAGAATGAGACCTACACATTCAGCAGCACATTAACAGCATGGGAAACTGTAATGTATAGTCAGAAAGAAGGTTTCACCAATAACCACTTTAAACAGAAACTTGAACTAATGACTTGTCTTCAATTTGGTTTACCCACCTAACGTTAATGATTTCACCAAATCTCAACTTATCGGTAATAGTTGAAATCATCATTCTTGATCTAACCAGTGAACAGTTAAGTTTTTGTCTTTGTGAGATAATTTTTAGTCATTTATATCTTAATAGAATCACATTGGAAGATGTTTTGGATGGAAATGTTTAAGCTGTCATTCAAAGTGGAAGATTGGACTCCCATGTCCTTACAAATAATGTATGTGGAGTCCAGGAATCCCCAATACCTCAAATCTATAAAAGTGGAAAAAATCCACCTTTTTCCCATTTTATGCATCATCTTCCCATCAGACAAGGCAGAGGAGGAGTTGTTGGAGAAGATACTAGAGTGGCAGTTTGGCTTCTTCAAATCTTCCTGGCTCTCCCAAAGTTGTGTAGGCATTGATAATACTACTTCCATTGTTTTCCAGTGATTCAGGTGCTTACCTGTTAAAGAAATCAAAGCAGTCACTAATGGTTGCACCAAGCCAGCAGCAATTGAGAGCGAAGCTGAAGCCTTCTGAACTACCAATATTCACCAGTTTGCAGCTTGTCCATTGGAAGGAGCCAGGAGTTTTGCAGACATAAAGCACCAGATGTGAGCCCATAGCCTCAAGAAGCCAAAGGATGTTCACGTCATGTGAAAAAACAACAAATAACCTTCTTCGATCTCTACTCAGAAAGGTCATGTCAGTATAAAAGTGAAAATACAGAAATGAATACAGAAAATACCATCATGCACCTCAGCTGTAGGCCAAAGCTTGCTGCCTCTTCATTCCTTGCAAGTCAAGTGGGAACCTAGAAGTTACCAGTGGAGCCTCTAACCAACACCATAGAGAGGTATGACTCTTGGCTGATGATAAGATGAAGAAATCAAAGACAAGCCCAGGCAAAATGCTGAAACACTGCATGGGTTTGTGTGTTCCACAAGGAAGAAAAGGAAAGGAATGACTCCAAGAAGAGCTTGTGGAGATCACACATAAACTAACCAAGGTGACAGAGGTTATCTACAAGCCATTGTTAAAAGAAAGTCAATCATCAGCAGTTCAGTAGAACTATTCATCAACCTGAAGTAGAATTGCCAGAGTTCCTGTATACTTTCTTTTCTCATCTTTAGTTTACTTCTTTTATAAATGTTTTATTTCTTTTCCCCCTTTTTACACAAAAATATTTTGTAAAAACATATATATATATATATGTGTGTGTGTACGTATGTATGTACAGTAATTCATTGTTTATTTTCTTTTTCCTTAAAGAGGGTTTTACTTATGTATTATTCTGTTTTACTTTATGTGTCATTTCCCAAGGAATCCCATTTCATGTGACTTTGAAAAAGATTTTATTTCATGTGTATCATAAAATAGTTTTATTATTATATAATTTTTGAGGTTTTTTGGTATGAAGTTAAACACAAAGCTACACAATGGGATATCTATGCTCTGCTTACCAAAGGTATCCAAACCCAGTTTCTAGTATTGTAAATCTGCAAACATACCACTGTGCCACACTAGGGGGGCAATTTTTAAGAACTATTGCATATGGGTTGGACTTATTTTATACTAGCAGATACCCAATGAAATAATTCAATGGTATTTTTCCAAAAAATAGTGATGAATAAATATAAAATCAACCCAATCACTTGGACTAGACTGTATATATGAAATATGATTGTCTATTGGGCTGTTTACAACTATCTTTTATCATTATTTCAATAAGGAAAATTGCATTGCATTTGTTTCTAAACAAAGGAGACTGATGCAATGCATTGTTGGCAAAAATGTTTGAGTTTTGATGCAATGGTGTATCCAGCACAAGAGTGCTCAGGTTCACTAAGTGCCATGGAATTTTTCTGTTAGATGTTACTGTTCCTTGTCATTTAACTGAGTGCAAGAAAATTCCACTACTGAATGAGCACTTTTTGACAGTTGTTATTTCTATAAGAAGTGTCAAAGGGGAGTTAGTTAATTCAATTCAAACCAATTTATTCATCATGGTATAATATATATATACATACATACATACAGAACAATATCAATTATATACTCAAATGTGTTCCCCCCTTTAATTTTTTCTGTTCATGCTTCCATCTTCGAAATATTTCTGTTAATAAGTCAATAGAGGTAGTCCCATTTTTTTTTCATTAAATTCTCTCACAAAAAGAAAACATTTTTGTATTCAATAATTTCTTTTTTCAGATTGATCATTCAGCAAATATGAAAACTGACAGATCAATGTTGATATCAATACAAAATTTTAGGAATTGCAAAAAAAAGAATAATTTTCCTGTTATGTACTTTCGAGAAAAAAAGCATTTTGGTATATACTTTTTTGTTTTCTATGATTAACTGTTCAGAAGATACAGAACATGACAGACAGACAGTGAAACATATATATATATATATGTCATTGTAAAGAGTTTTATGTCATTTTTGTACATATATTTGTTTGTAATTAAGCACAAAGCTACACAATGGGCTATCTGTGCTCTGCCCACCACGGGTATCGAAACCCGGATTCTAGTGTTGTAAGTCCGCAGACATACCGCTGTACCACTGGGGGGCTTGTACATATATATGATCACTGTAGCAGTATGTGTTAGTTAAGGATGTTGGTTGTGTGTGTGAGGTGTGGTTCACTTTGTGTGTTATCATAATGTATGTCCTCCGACAATTTGTGATGTTCACATTCAGTCTGACTGAGGGTTATGATTTTTATGTAAATTCATTGGGTTGTGTTGTAATTTTTAAAATGGAAGACAAGTAAGATATGGAAAAAAAAGATGTGACATGCAAGTACAGCATACCTTACTCTTCTATAATGTATATATATGTATTTAAAAGATTTTCTATGTTCTGATTTGGAACATTTTAAATCAGTTGAGGTCATGTGTGTTATATTCAGCTTAAGCCATTACATTTTATAATTTCACCAGTCAAGGAACTTCTTTCATAGGATAGTTGCACTGTGCCCTATCTCACCTTTTGTATGAGGGATACCTTGCAACTGTTATGTGGAGCAGAAATATTTCTGCATTCTGGTCCTCTTTTATTATTGTCAGTTAAAAGAATAAAGGAAAAACGTTAAGTAAAGAAGAGACAAACTGTAACACACACGATAAGCATTTAGGAAAAAGTATAGTAAAACTAGTACCAAATTTTGTCAGCAAGTCTTGGGATTTCAAAAAAAGAAGCAAACTGTCACCTTCAGAAGTTAGAGCAAATCACTGTTTAAAGCACCAAACCTGTATTCACTTCGTAGCTAATGAATCGGGGAGAAAAATAGATATCGTTTTCGGATTCAGTGCACAGAAATTACTGTAAAACGTGTACAAATTTCAAGACAATAAAACCATCACAGGTCTGTGTTATTTAACACTAGTTCAATCACATTGCCAGTGCACTTTATGGGGCCATTAATTTCTTAGAAACTTATGTTTCTATGTAATTTAATTTTTAATTTAGCATTTCATAGGTATTAATATTTTTTGTCATAAGGTATAAAGTTTTTTGCTTAGACCATTTTACCTTCTAGTGAAATTTAGATTAATATTAAGCAGTGGGTGATAATTCAAGGAAAAACTTAGCTCATGAATCTAATATGCAAAAAGACAAGAGTAGTAATTTGTTACAGGTGAAATGAAATAGACAAGGCATGGTATTGAATTCAAAATAAAAGAAAAATATAATTTTATTTTGTTGCAAAAGTGAAAGTACAAACCCTTGTTTCTTTACAACAAATTTACCACAAATATAACAGAATATGTTTGGGTTATTTACACAACCTCTTGTTGCCATAGTGACAAATAAATAATATTGAAAAGAAAAAAATAATGTCAAGGTGCATGCACAAACAAATACCATCCAGAAATGATGCATTATGCAGCCTGTTAACCATTTATTTACTAGTGATGTGTTTCTCGTGGGTTACTGAACAATTGAGAAATCTATAGCCAGTGGTTGTCAACATTTTAAGCATAACAGAATGTGACCTGATTTTAATGAAAATAATTCACTTATGTAAAAGTAAATATGACATTTTATGAAAAATCTGTACATGATAGTGGAGTAGGTACAGGTACATCAGGTCCATGAGCAACAAGTCTTATAGTAGATAGAAGGTTCGGATAAGAAATTTCCTTTTTATTTCGAGTGTTGTAGCCTTGCCTGTTACATGAGCAAAAATAGCAGTCATCTCCGATAGGCTCGTGCCAGACCATTGGAATTCCAAAAAGCAAAGACTTTTTCTTACATTTAGTCCATTTTCTCAACTTTTCGATAAAACAGTGCACTCTTTGTGCAGAGCCCATGATTTGACTTGGTTCCCAAGTTTTATTCCAAAGTACGGGTTATATGCTTTTTTGACGATTTATGTAATGTTTTGGATACTTGAAACAGTTGCCATCTTTGTCTAAGAACTTTACAAACTGCTTCATCAAGCCCAGTTTTATGTGAAGTGGAGGTAATAGGATTTTCTTTTTGTCAACCAGATATTCATGTTCAATATTTTTCGATCCTGGTATCAGGCTGACTCTGCGTGACCATTGCTTCTTTATCCAGTTGCTTATTTTGTACTCTGCTGTTCCATTCACACAAAAAACATGGAAATTTGTATAACCGGATTGTTGACCTACAAACATACAAAGGACTTTTAAGTCTCCACAAAGTAGCAAACCATGTTCTTTGTATTTGACATTATTAATAAGTTTGAGATTTTTGTACATTTCCTTCAAGTGAACTGAATGAGCAATAAGAACAGATGCATATATGTTACATTGTGGAGGAGAACCCCTTTTAAATTTCTTTTTGGAGGAATTAATAAACAACTGCTACTCACTTGGTTCATAAACTGTAGCTCCTAGCATTGATATTAATTCAGCGATATTGTTGCAATAAACCAGTGAATCTTCTTGCAAAAAAAATATGGTATAAACCCTTTCTCACAATTTCTGTACCAGTAAATTGATGTCCCTGGAGAAAGTAAGTTCTTAGCCCAAAGTCTGGACCCCAAAATCTATGAAGAATCCTTTGGAAGGCCCAAATCTCTCACCAAATCATTTAGTTCATGATGTGTGAAAAATTGTTGTTCACCAGATGTTTCAGGTTGAAAATAATCCCTATCATCATTTCTGTTTACATCAGAATCAGATGAAACTGTATCAAGAGTCTCCGATGTGGGCAATTCCCAGCTCTTTCAGAAGCAAAACTTAAAGAAAGTATTTTTATTGGGCCTCAGATTAGGAAATTGACTTCAGATGAACAGTTAGAAAGGACAATGAAGAAAGTTGAAAAAGAAGCATGGATTGCCTTTAAAAATGTTATTGGTAATTTTTTAGGAAACAATAAGGACCCAAATCATGAAAATATTGTCAATAACATGCTTGATAAATTCAAAGAGTTGGGTTGTAATACGAGCTTGAAATTTCATTTCTTACATATTCTCACATATTGACTATTTCCCTGAAAATATTGGTGCCATCAGCAAAGAACAAGGGAAAAGGTTTCATCAGGGAAGGTGGAACATCAGCATGATGGCTGAGTACTGCTGGTCATTGAAATGAGATGCTTCAGATGCAATACATAAAAGAAAGACCACAACACGTAGTTTTAAGACTAAAAGACTTACATTTCACAAAGAAAATCAAGATGAATAAGGATGCATAATCATTTGACATCAATGTTCTTCCCTTTTCTTTAATTTCTTTGTATTTTTGTTAACAAACATAATAATAAAAAATTTTCATTGTGGTAAACGAAATAATAATTCGATCTAAGTAAGAGTTTTTTTCTTCCCAATTTGCAAAATATCCTTACATGATAGAAAGAAAAAAAATATTATTTTCGAAATCTGCGTAGCTGAATTATGGAAAATCTTTTATTAAAACCCAAACAACTTTTATGAAGTTTAAATTTGCAGGCCTGTGTAATCTTAACCTTCTATTACCAATATACATAGAAAAATATTTATAAAACAATCTCTTCTTTTGATTCATAAATCTGTACACAAGAAAAATAAACTAATGATTAACATTTAACAAGACCAAAATGTAAACATGCTAAAACAAATATGAGTCAATGCATCCATGTTGGTAATAAAAGGATTAACATATTACATCTATTTCTGAGAAGAGTGACATTAGGAAAAATCCCATTATAAACAATGATGAGATAATGTGAAAAAGAAGCCAAGCTTCTGAAGAAATTAAGTTCAGAGAAAGTTTCCTTTTTTTGATATATAAAAGTTAATATTCTATTCTGATGCTATAGAGATATACTTTGTATAAAACTGAAATGAAGTGAAAAAAAAGCTATTTTATTATTAACCAAATATATACCTTCTTTATTGACAAGATAAAAATAACGAGGACTTAATATTTTTCAATATGAAAAGAAGTTTTACTTTCTTTACCAGCAAATTAAATTCATAATATAAATTAACATTGTTTCTTCTTTCTGATGCAGTTAAAATTATTTCTTCTCTACCAGCAATAAAAAAAATTAACTTTTTCTTTTGATAAAATTACATAAAATCCTTATTCTCTTAAATATTTGAATGAACAAAAAAACTTATTTTCTTTACTTATGAAATTGAGTCTATCAGGGATCCTAGTTTCCTTAATGATAAGGTAAAAATGAGAAAAAGTCAGACCTTACCTTGTTTACTAATGAAATAAAGTAAGAAATAATCACCACCACCATTATTGATACAATTTATATAATGATGTAAAATAATATGATTAAGTCTTCAATAGATAAAGTTTGTTTGTTTTAATATTGCACAAAGCTACACAAGGGCTATCTGCACTAGGCATCCCTAATTTAGCAGTGTAAGACTACAGGGAAGGCAGCTAGTCATCACCACCCACCTCCAACTCTTGGGCTACTCTTTTACCAACAAATAGTGGGATTGACTTCCACATTATAACACCCCCCACAGCTGAAAGGGCAAGCATGTTCGGTGTGATGGGGATTCGAACACGTGACCCTCAGATTGTGAATCGAGCACCCTAACCACCTGGCCATACTGGGCCAATAGATAAAGTGAAAAAAAAAAAACGTGTTTTTTTAACTGAATGAAACTGAGTACAAACCTACACTTTTACTGATGAAGGACATAAAATGAAGGAAAGTATGGAAAAAAATCTAATTTTTTTGCTAATGAAATAATGTAAATCCTAAATTTATTTATGGTGTGATATAAAGAAAAATACCTTTTCTTTGCTCATGAAATGAAGCAAAGAAAAATATTTTACAGACAAAATAAAGTCAAAAACATATATATATTAATTGAATCTAGTCCAGAGAAAGTACTTAAGAAAAAAAAAGAAGAGGAAGGCTTACCTTCTTCTCTGATTGGGGACATGTCAAGAAAATACATGTGGGAGCTAGTTACTTCAAAACGACCTTTCACTCTAGACATTAGTGTTACCAGTTCACAATCTTCTGATATTACCACTTTTCCAGATGCATCTGGTCCTTCAATTCTAGTAAAGAATATTGTTTCAAAATCACTGTAAACAAAAAAAACTGGAATAATTTTACCAAGTTCTTTAGAAGTATAAGAAAAGCACAGATGGTATTTTTTATCAGTAGTAAGTATATAATAAGTGCCAGTACATTCTAGGGGCAACATAAGGGATTGCTTGTTTTAGAATTTTCCCTGCAAAGGGCTATCTGTGCATATATGCCTCCAATCTTGTACTGATACACAATATTTGGGCTACTCCTGTCTGACCAAATAGAAGGAATTGACAATCATTCTTATTGTGGACCCATAGTCTCAAAGTGTAAAGCACGTTTCTGAAGCAGTGAAACTTACGATTCACAGTTCAGGCATGCTAACCATTAGACCATGCCTAGCCCCACAACATTAAGAAATCAGACTGAGAAAATGAATGTAAATAAAAAATATCAAATGTACTTGATATTCATAATATCTACACTGTTATAAAAGATAAAGAAATTTAAACTAGAATATATTGTAGGATACAAACTCAGATGCATTTATGCTCTGTAGTTCTTCTTCCTGCAAAGAGTCCTCTTCTTGGTGAGATACTCTAGCTTCCTGGGCAACAGGAGGTAGACTGCTTAAGCTTGACTGTTGGTTGGTACCTACATATGAAACATTAAGAAGATATAGTGTTAGTTATGCATAATTATTTGATGGTATAACTAATAAAACATTCAGAAAATATACTAACTAATCTTGAAAGTTAGATTCTGATCAAATAACAAAACTAGTTCATATAATCATGACTGTAGGTGGGCATAAAATAATTAAAATGTACATGAATACTTGATCTTGCTGTCAGCTTGTATTAAGAACATAATAGCAGATTACCTAATTTTCATTAAGTCTTACTTGATATATTATTTACATATGTCATTTTGTGTGTGGGGAGGTAATGCTTTTAGCTATGTTTCTACCCTAAAGGTACACAAACTTACTGGTGCAGTTTTGTTTGCATCTTTCTAACGTCAACCTTAATTCTGCTGACCATGTGTGTGTGTGTGTGTGTGCAAGTCACCCTTATCTTTTGTACTGGTAACTCAATTTCAGTTCAGAAAGCAAGCAAGTTTAATTTCCATGCAATTTCACTTTAGTTTAATACTCCTGCTTGTAGTTTCATCTATACCTGCATTAATAAAGTATTCGTTATATTTGTCTTTACATAAAATCTTATTTCTTTCATTCTTCTGGAGACAAATCACTTCACCTATTCTTGCACATACTGGATGCTTGAGCTCTTACTGTTGTAGTAATCAGGTGATAGGATTACATAAACTTTTTGTACAACTAATTACTGCTGCTTCTACATCAAATATCTGTTTAATATCATTTAATATATGAACTTAATTACCAGCTTTTATATGTTACACAGGGATTCTAACTTCTGGAATCTTCTACATCAGAAATGTATGTAATTACTGACTCCAAGATCAAACGTATATTCACTTTTGATTCTAACTTCTGGAATCTTCTACATCAGAAATGTCTGTAATTACTGATTTGAAGATCAAATGTGTTCACTTTTGATTCTAACTTCTGGAATCTTCTACATCAGAAATGTCTGTAATTACTGATTTGAAGATCAAATGTGTTCACTTTTGATTCTAGCTTCTGGAATCTTCTACATCAGAAATGTCTGTAATTACTGACTTGAAGATCAAATGTGTTCACTTTTGATTCTAACTTCTGGAATCTTCTACATCAGAAATGTCTGTAATTACTGACTTGAAGATCAAATGTGTTCACTTTTTATTCTAGCTTCTGGAATCGTCGGCATCAAAAATGTCTGTAATTACTGACTCCAAGATCAAAGATATGCCCACTTATTTTTTAGTTTTATGTACCTCACATATACTTAAACATTTGTTCTTGATTTTCTGCACCAATGATGTTCATTTTGTAAACAAAACTTATATATTGATATATTGGTTTTTAAAACTCAAAATATTATTTCACTAGATCTTTTTTACAAAAAATATTTGGAATTAGTGAGTGGTCTCCTATACCAGAAAAGCATTTGAGTACAAGTTACTCATCATCACACCTTTACTTAACAGATTTTTGCCCTGAGGTGAGTAATTAATGGTTCTTTTATTTGAATAAATAGAGTTGTTTAAACATTAGTTTAACAACAAATAAAAGCTTGGAATGTGGAATGGTGTATTCTTTCATTGGGGTGTGTGTCTGTGAGCCAGACTAGTTTCAGAGAATTCCATCTCATCAGTGACCTGGACTAAA